AGGAAGAAATAGAAATTTTTAATAGACTCATAACCAGAAAAGGAATTGAGTCAGTAATCAAAAATCTCCCAACAAACAAGGACCTGGGCCACATGGCTTCCCGGGGGGGGGGGGGGGGAAGGGTTCTACCATACATTTAAAGAAAAATTAATATCGATTCTCAAATCGTTCCAAAAAACAGAAACAGAAGAAAAGCTTTCAAACTCATTCTGTGAAGTCGCATTATCTTGATTCCAAAGTCAGACAAAGACTCTACTAAAAAGGGGAATTACAGGCCAAAATCCCTGATGAAACTGGATGCAAAAATTCTCAACAAGATATTTGCAAATCAAACTCAACAGTACATTAACAGAATTATTCACCATGATCAAGTGGGATTTCTTCTTGGATTGCAGAAGTGGTGCAATATCCACAAATCAATCAACATGATACACCACATTAATATAAGAAAGGATAAGAGCTATAAGATCCTCTCAAATAGATGTAGAAAAAGCATTTGACAAAATACAACATTCATTCTTGATATACACCCTCAGCAAAGTAGGAATAGATGGAACATACCTCAATATCATATGGGTATCATATGGGTACCATTTATGAAAGACCCACAGCTAATATCATCCTCAAAGGGGAAAAATTAAGAGCCTTTCCCCTACAGTCAGGAACAAGACAAGGATGCCCACTCTCACCATTATTATTTAACGTAGTACTGGAAGTCTTAGCCTTGGCAGTCAGACAACAAAAAGAAATAAAGGGCATACAATCAGAGCAAGGAAGAGGTCAAACTTTCACTATTTGCAGATAACATGATACTCTATATAGAAAACCTAAAAGACAACCAAAAATTTACTAATACATGAATTCAGCAAAGTTTAAGTATATAAAATAAACCTGCATAAATCTGTTGCATTTGTATACACCAATAATGAAGCAGCAAAAACATAAATCAAGAAATCAAATTCATTAAAAAACTGCATCAAAAAAAGATTCTTAGGAATAAATCTAACTAAAGAAGTAAAAGATCTATACTCTAAAAACTATAAAGGCTTATGAAAGATATTACAGAGGACACACAAAAATGTAAAAGCCTTCCATCCTCATGAATTAGAAGCACAAATAGTGTTAAAATGTGTATGCTACCCAAAGCAATCTACACATTGATTGCAATCCCTATCAAAATACCACCTGCAGTCTTCACAGAGTTAGATCAAACAATCATAAACTTCTATGGAACTACACAAGACCCCAAATAGCCAAAGCAATCCTGAGAAAGAAAAAACAAAACTGGAGACATCATGATTCTGTATTTCAAGCTATATTACAAAGCAGTAGTCATCAAGACGGTATGGTACTGGCACAAAAATAGACACGATTGTACAACTATCTGGTCAACTCATCTTTGACAAAGGAGGAAAGAATATCCAATGGAAAAGATACAGTCTCTTCAACAAATGATTTATGGGAAGGTAAGGGAAACTAATGCAAAAATGAACTATTGGGACTTCATCAAGGTAAAAAGTTTCTGCACAATGAAGGAAACAATCAACAAAACTAAAAGACAGCCTACAAAATGGAAGAATATATTTGCAAACAACATATCTAATAAAGGGTTAGTCTCCAAAATCTTTAAGGAACTTACAAAAGTTCCAAACCCAAAACCCCAAACCCAAACAACACAGTTAAGAAATGGGCAGAAGACGTAAATAGACACTTTTCCAAAGAAGACATCCAGATAGCTAACAGACACATGAAAAGATGCTCAACATCACTCATCATCAGAGAAATACAAGTCAAAACGGAGATGAGATATCACTTCACCCCTGTCACAATGGCTAAAATTAACAACACAGGAAACAAGAATTGTTGGTGAGGATGTGGAGAAAAGGGAACTCTCTTGCACTGCCAGTGGGAATGCAAACTGGTGCAGTCACTCTGGAGAACAGTATGTAGGTTCCTCAAACAAACAAACAAACAAACAAACAAAATTATCCTATGATCCAGCAATTGCATTATTAGGTATTTACCCAAAGGATACAAAAATACTGATTCAAAGGCATACATGCACCTGATGTTTATAGCATTATCAACAATAGCCAAACTATGGAGAGAGCCCAAGTGCCCATCATCTCATGAAAGGTTAAAGAAGATGTGGTATATATAGATACAGATAGATAGATAAATGGATTACTACTCAGCCATCAAAAAGAATGAAATCTTGCTATTTGCAACAACATGGATGCAGCTAGAATATATTATGGTAAGCAAAATAAGTCAATCAGAGAAAGACAAATACCACATGATTTCACTAATATGTGGAATTTAAGTAACAAAACAGATTAACATATAGGGAGGTGGGGGGAAGAAAAGAAAGGGAAAACAAACCAGAAGAGAGTCTCTTAACAACAGAGAATAAACTAGGACTGATGGAGGGAGGTGGGTGGGAGATGGGCTAGATGGGTGATGGGTACACTAAAGAGGTCATTTGTGATGAGCACTGGGGGTTGTAATGTAAGTGATAAATCACTGAATTCTACTTATGAAACTAATACTGCACTGTATATTAACTAACTAAAATTTAAATTAAAAAAAAAGAAAGAGAATAAATCCCTAAAGCAAAGGTATTTATTGTGACCTGAAGACCACAAAAAAGAAAGCATTCCATACAGCCCTCCACCAATACCACATCACATGCACAAATAACACTGGGTGTGTTGTTTCCTAAGGTCAGAAGACAGACCAGTCCACACACAGGTCAACAGGAACCTCTGAATGGTTCAATTTGAAGAAATTCTAAGAAATTTTGTTCGAAAAGATTATCCCCACATTTGCTTTCCAAACACTGTTAAACATTTACTTTGGATTAAAGATCAGGCTTCAGTTTAAATGATAGTGTAAATATAAAAACATCTACCCAGTGATAGTCACATAGCATTTCCTCAGTAAATGTTTACTTTAAAAAGGAGCCCTCCAAATAGCACCCTCGTCAAGAAAAACCCACAAATGTTGCAATACACTGTAATAGGAAGCAGGTCAGAAATAATACACCAATCATATGTTTTCCCTATTTGGGGATGTCTAGTTAAGCTCTATTCCCGAAGCAAAGAATGACTTTGCTGTTTCAAAGCCTCAGAAATGCTTGTGATAGGGGAATACTGAAAGAAAATCTAGACTCTTTCTTTTTAAGTTTTATTTCATTTATTTTGAGAGTGAGACAGAGAGAGAATCAACAGGGGAGGCGCAGAATGAGAGGGAGACATGGTGCAAAGTGGGTTCTGTGGTGACAGCGACAAGCCTAATGCGGGGCTCAAACTCAAAAACCACAAGATCATGACATGAGTCAAAGTCAGACACTTAATTGACTGAGCCATGTGGGAGCCCCTGCCGAAATTATTTTTTAATCAATCTAAATTTTAAATTAACATAACTTCATTCAAAGTTTAATTACATTTAATTGCAATTTTCAAAATCAAGAATTACTACATTGAATATTAACAAACTACAGTTCTTTAATCATGTCTGTCATCAATGCAGACACAAAGAGATATGTATATAAATAATGTTATTAAGAATTAAGACCCTAAACTAGAAAGCGATTAAAATGGTCCTAAGTAGGCACCCAATACATATTTGTACACCAGCTTTCACAGCAGCATTATTCACAATGTCCAAAAGGGGGAGACACTGCAAATGTCCACTGACAGATAAAGACTGCATTAACAAATTGTGGCATGTACTTATAATGAAAAATTATTCAGCCTTAAAAAAGAGATTCTGATCGATACTATTAACACGAATGAGTCCTGAAGACATGATGCAAAGTGAAATGAGCCAGACACAAAAAGACAGATACTGTATATTTCTACTGAAACGAGGTATCTACAATAGCCAAATTTTTCAAGAAGTAAAGTAGAGTAGTGGTTCCCCCAAGGGCTGCAGGCAAAGGGTAAATGGCAGCTATTATATAATCAGTACAGAGTTCCTGTTTGTGATGACGCAAATGTTCTACAGTGATGGTTGCACAACAATGTGAATGTACTTCAAGTCACTAAGCTGTTCCCTCAAAATATTTAGTGATCAATTTTATGCTGTGTATATTTTACCACAATAAAAATCTATGAAGAAATTTTCACAGAGAAAAACTTATACTAAAATCTGAATAACAAAGCTTGATCACCTTAAAAATTTTATAATTTCTCAGAATTTTATTCCTCAAAGATTCTACTTAAAATTGAATATTTTTTAAAATCAAAGTCAAGAAAGCTTCGTATTGAGCAATCTAGAGTTTAGAGTCTTAAAGCCACCCAACACTATTGTTCACCTGCCACATGAACTTGAGCAATTCATTTCAGTTCCCTGCGCTGCTGATGTCTTGTCTGTCAACAGAGAAGAGTTGATAAGATTTCTTTGTTCATTTTAGCTGACATTCACTGGATTCAGTGATTCTGTTAAGAACATCCAACATCATTATACACAAACTCATGGGCAGTCATTGATTTTTCAAGAAAACAAAATCATTTCAATTATAGATTCTGATCTTAGCTGCATAAATAAGGGACTTGCTGAGAAACCTTTCTTAAATTCCAGTTATCATAAAAGCAAAAGGTAATCTCTGACACAAAAAAAGAAAAGTGATCCTTTCCTATTAGAAATCTTATATATGTCAGAACACTTCTGTTCACATGTTATCAAGCTAAGTTATTAAGTGCCAGGTACTAAAATAACCTGTAATAACATGTTGGTTGGGATGAAGGTAAGAGAGGAAAATATGAGACTACAGAGTGTGGCATGCTGGCAGACAGAGCCAGCAAGTTTTACAACACTTTACATAAGCGTGCGCGCGCACACACACACACACACTCACTGACATGCACACTTTTCGTTCTTTGGGCACAATTAGATTTTAAAAACACTTTTCCCAGCAATTTTTTACAAAAGCATTGTTGCTTTACTCTACACTTTGTGTAGAGTAGAAGGAATCAAGAATTAGTGGGAAAAGATACCTGGTATTAACGAATTCCCTCTCTGCTGAAGCATGGTGACATTATGACCATGATCTTGAAGAATCTGAGACACCCGGTCCAGCAGTAGATGATGGCTCCCACCTAGGAACAAGGCACAACGACATCTTTGTAATCATGAGAATAGAGTGTCTGAAGTGGATGGGGTGATAGAGCCAGGACATAAGAGATAGGGAACAGAAAGCTGATGGTGAGTAGAGGAAGATCAGCTTCATCAATCAGGATGTCCATCTCCATCAGGGTAAGAAAGCTCCAGTCACTCCACAAAACCAAAAAGACCAAAAACATAACATAGCAAACCTCCACCTGACTCTTTGGTGTTACTCTGGTCACAAAAATGACCAAACATCAGTGTGATGAGACTCTCTCTGCTGAGGCCTTAAGGAGTTCCTCATTTCTACGTGCATGCTGATTTTTGCCAGACACATGGTGCCCTAAATAACTCTACGAATGGAAAGGTTGGCGTTGTGCTGTATATGAGTGTGAAGGGCTCCTAGCGGAAAATTAATCAGAGCATTTCTGGAATCTTTCTCTCTGGAAATTTATGCTAATGTGAGAGCCAAAACATGGGAACTGTAACATCAGTCCAAGAAAGAGCCACTGGAGCTGAGGAGAGAGAGACACCACTTAGAGCCAAAATTCTTGAGATTCAAATATATTTGGCAGGAGTCTTCTCAGTTGGGGCCTGCATTTTGCTGAACCTCAAATTAAGGCATTCAGAAAGGCTGTGGGCCCCTGGAGTGGAACTGCAGGATACTGTATGCATGAGACTCTGGGACCCCACCCATCCTAGGAAAATCCTGGGATCCTAAGGAAAAGACGTAGGATCCTCTGGGAGGTACACATTCTATCACATCAAGTTCTATCTAAAACCATATGCTATCAGGGGCCATGCTTCTGGCATCTATGAGTCTCAGCAATAGTGAAAGCCAGACCACGAGGGAAGGAATAGGATTTGCCCAAATTGGGAAGCGGGGGTGGTTTGGAAGAGGAAGGTGCCATGATGACTGGGTCAGCACACACGATGTAGAACTACAGTAATAGTGTGCATCTAGTTTGTTATACTTAGCTTTTTATAGCTATGGTTGTGTTGCCCTGAGGTAACACGGGTTACATAAAACATGAACCCTACCCCATCAGACTGCATGCTCGGACTCACCTTTAACCCATGCAAGAAATGGATTCAGCAGAGAGGCTTCCTGCCCCTGCACAGGCAGCCATTTCTGAGGGTCTTGGTGAGCCCAGTGCATTCTGGGGCAGAGGCGGGGCTTCAGCGCCCCCACACCACACCTGACGCCCCCCCTCCACCACGACCACACACACACACACACACAAAGTCCAGAGGACACATACTGATAAGAAAGGAGGGAGCGCTTTTGTGTCACTGCTACTAACAATCAGGAAGGAAAAAAAAAATTCAAATGCAGTTACAGGGTTTCTTAAAGAGTGATTTTTAAAACATCCCCACTGAAAAGTGCATGCGACTGGACGCTGCGAAAAGGCTGATCTTGCGATAAGAGGGCCTGAGTAAATTCTTGCTGTGTGCATTTAAAGAGGTCTGGTGTGCTCTGGCAAAAGGTGCCTGACCCTTAAGATTCTTGTTCAGGAAAACACTGTGGGGGGCTAAATGAGATGACTTAGCGTTCCTTCCAGCTCTCAGATCCCCCAATTCCCAGTGGTCTATACAGTTAAGTGACTTAAAAGAGCCCACTGTGAGTGGCAATACAATGTTAGGGAAGCTCCAGCCTAGGATGACCCTTTATCCTGATATAATTTTCCTTTTCATCTTCTATTCCCTTTGGTGCAAAAGTAAAGGAGATAAAACTGAGGCCACAAAATGCCAAATTAACAGTTCCCCGAGTCCTTCAAATACTTCCAGCCCCACAGGTGAAAGGAGTGGGCCTTAGAAAGACCTGAAAGTCCAGGGTCCAGTCCCCAACCCTGGCCAGTTCCCTAGGTTCCCTCTGGATGAAAACAACCTCCTAATTGTTACTGAAATGCTTTCCCTTCTCCACCTTGTCTCCCAAGCAGCTTCAGATAATCAGTGCTGCTCTCCTCATAGCTTCTTCCCCTGGCTTCCAAAACCCTGCAAATGCTCCCACAATCTCTATCGACAACTGCTGTGCATCCCCCAGAAGCTTAGAGTGAGCCTCTGAATGTCCTACCCGCCCTTGGGAAGAGGCTGCCTGGGGTCTCCAGCACAGGGAGGGATCGCAAACTTCTGGCCCCATCTCTGTGCCTTGGAGAGCTAGTCTGAATAGGAAGAGAGGAAAGGGTATTCTACTTTCTCCAGAAGCATCTTCTTCACCCCTACACGAGGCAGGGGCTCCTCATACCCCAACATCCCCCTCCCACCCCTCCCTCTCACAGCCTGGGACCCAAGCGTGGTCTGGAAAACCACACAGAGTGACCCTCTGACCCAGGGCTGTGTGCCTGAGCCTTCCTGCGGGTGCCTGGGACAAGCCTGTGTCTGATTCTCCAGTCAAGCACTCACCCACTAAGGACAGAGTTAGGATCTTGGCGGCCTCTGAGAGCAGGAACCCAGGCAGAAGGAAGCTGGCTAGCAGCAGCGCCCGCTGCCCTGCCATGCTCACTCCTGTACCGGTTGATGAGCCCAGTCTTGTACCCAGAGCCTGCGCCCCGTGCCCCACACAGTAACCTGTGTGCCCTGGGGACACACGCTGCACTGGCAGCCAAGGAGATTCACTGGCAGGCAGCTTGGGAAGGGGTGAGAGACGGATCCTGCCTGTCTTCTCTTTCCGTCTGTGATTTCTTTCTGCTCCTCCTCCCAACCCCTACCCCGGGTGTTTGCTCCACTGGCTAATTTGTCCTCACCCTCCCTAACCTCAGGCATCTGGCAATGGGAAGGAGGGGTTAGTGAGCTCCTCTTAACCCCTCTCCTTCCACGGAATCACTACACTACAGAGAACATACTCTGAAGCAGGAATGGTTGGTACCTCAGGAAGTCACTGAGGTCACCTTCAGGTGACTCAGACCCATCTCCGTTTTAGAGACTCTTCCACAATTTTTCTCACCTCCTAGCTGCACTACTGACCTCAACTGTCATCCCCATGTTCCATTTCCCCAGGTAGCTCCTTACAATCTCTGTGAGTCTTCCAATCTCAGGAGACACTGCTCCCACGGAGGAACTTGTGTCTACTCTCTAGAAGCCAATGCCCAAGACAAGCCCACCTACCATTCCTGGACTGTATTCAGAGGACCTCTTAAGATGGTCATTTATTTATGAAGAGGTGCTAGAGTCCAAGTCTTTACCTGGAGGTTTAAACCTGACAGCTGAGACTGTAATTCCAAATGAGCATCATAACACTAGGGATGCTTCCACAGTCTCTTTAGGCACAAACTGAGGACATCTTGTCATTCTGCCTCTTTGTCCTGGGAAGTTCAGGGCATGCAAGCCCCAGAGGCGTTTTTGCATTTTCTGTCCTGAAAACAAGACTGGCTCTTGTAAAGGATTTTGGTGCAGCTTCCCTTACAGCCTTGTGTAGTCAGGTGACAGAATTCTGGGCAAGGAGGACAAAGTCTCTTTTCCAGGGGGAGGGGTACGATAATTCTGGAAGACTGGGTTTCCTGATCAAAGACGTATGTGTAGTTTCCTGAGCTATGACAAGAGTTAACAGGAAAGGCCAACAGAAAAATGAGAGAATTTGTAAAGTTCTTGATTTTGGTGTGATAGCAGGTGACTGAAGCAGGAGTGAGGGAAACAGGCTAAGAAGATACTGGACATGGAGGCTGGAATGGTTCAGGCTCATGCTCCTCAAACAAGGGCATGACAAAGGAGGTGGCTTCAAGGATTAAAATATGAGGTCACTGGTCCAAATTACCCTGGGACTAAAGTCATACAAGAGCCCTTGCTGACTGTCAAATAAAGAAGGTCATAAGGGCTGGATAAGGAATTCCAATTTTAGGAAGAAGCCAATGATCAGGAATCTACAACAAAATTAACAAGTTGATATGATGTGGAGAAAGGGAGTTGCCTGAATTCGTTGGAAGCCCATAAAGAATTGTAACACCCTGTGTCCCCCCACCCCCAGCAATATGCCATACTCCAAGGCTACACTTGGCTTCAGGCCTTCTTCAGCTCTGGCCCCACACAGCTTCCTGGCCACCATACTCACCAGCTTCCCACCATACTCACCAGCTTCCCACCATACACAACAGCTTCCCACAAAGCCACATAGTGCCCAGGGTGACCATCAACAGGAACAAGATATTCAGAAAGTACTCATGTTTTGCTGTTGGATAGTGTGGGCTTGAGGTGTGCTACACCCCCTACCTGGAGGATGTGGTAAATCCAGCCCATCAACCCCTGGTGGGGGTTGTGGGCTCGGGACGTAGCAGTGTCTGATAATGTTGGGGGCCACCGCTGCTGATCTGTACATTTTGGCAGAGACAGAGGGGAGGTGGCAACATTAGATGGCAGGTTCTCAGCAGCTTAGGCTGAACAGAGAAGGCTGGCGTTCAGGTAATTACAACCTGGCCTGAAGTTTACCAGCCGAATGCCCTTAAGGGTTTAATATTATACAAAATTCCTGTGTGCACAGAATCCAATTTAATGCTGAAAGGTAAAGTTGCCCTTAAGTCAGTCTCTACTTTCATGGAGTTTTTGATCTACTCGACCAAAAGATACCTATATGGTTGCTAGGTGTGCTCACTGCTAAAGAAGCACCACTCTTTATAATCCTTTCAGTGGACAGAACTAGGAAATATATGGTGATAGATGTAGTTACCAAGATCCCATATTTATTTCTCTGCCTATAGATGTTGTAGCTATGTCTACTAGTTAAAAAATTATGAATTCATTCTGATATCTCAATTCAATACACCATGGGGGTTGTCCTAATCTTCCATATTTACACATTTTTAGCATTTTCCTAATGTAAGAAACATCGTTACACTTACTCATCTGCTTAGTCCTATCATATCTAGAAGGTGAGGTTACATACACTACCCCACACAACCATGAAAAACCTACTTAGTAAACAAGTTTTGTTTGTTTGCTTGTTTGTTTTTGTCTTTAGACAGAATATATATAACTAACCCTTGAACAGGTGGGTTTGAGCTGCACAAGTCCACTTATATGTGGATTTTTTCAATAAATATAGTACTGTAAATATAGTTTAACTTCCTTATGATTTTCTAATAACATTTTTTCTCTAGTTTATGTATGCTAATATTAACACATGTGACATTTACATGTAGTATATATAATACGTATACTAGTAATACATATACTTCTAGAATATAATACATATAAGATACAAAGCATATGTTAATCAACTTTTCATGTTATTAGTAAAGCTTCTGATCAACAGTAGGATATTAGTAATAAAGTTTGGGGGGAGTCAAAATATATAGTGTTTTGACTGTGTGAGGGACCAGCACACCCATCCCCATGATGTTCAAGGATCAGCATAGTAGTAAACTAAATTCAGCAATGTATAAAATTTATCAGACACCAATACTGAGAGGAATTTATCCTGAAATGCATAGATGGTTCAACATATGAAAATTGATCAATATAATACACTATATTAACCAAATGGAGAAAAACCAAAATCACCTTAATTGGTGCATAAAAGAAAAGCATCTGACAAAATTCAACAGTTCCGTGATAAAAACATGCAACATAATAAAAGCCATAAAGGAAAACACCACAGCAAACAAACTAACACCATAACAAATAGGGATTCATTGCATCTGCCCAACATATTAAAACTGTTAATACAACCAAAGATTTGTTAATAGAGTGTCTTCAGGATTAAATCCCTTTTTACAAAGTATCCACCAACGAAGAAGTGATTATCCCCACTAGTTCTGCATTCAATAGTCTAATTTGACTATTCTTAAACCTTAATGAATGGTGCCTCTCAGTGGATTACTATGACTTTAATGCCAAAGTCATCGTATTAGGGCCTCCATTTCCAATCTTACTGAAATTGCTGACTATATCTACGTACTAACAAATTCTTTGCAATCATAAACGTGGTAATATATTCTGTTTAATTCCTATTTCAACAAGCTCTTCATCTTTGAGGGATACAAATCACTTGTAGCTGGCTTTTCATGGACTACCTCAATAGCCCTCCTCACAGGTTTTCTGGCAAGATCTTTAACCACAATTAACTTTCTCCAGAAGCACATGTATGACAGGACATTGAGGGAAGCCTCCTTTTTGCAGAGATTCATGGAGCACACTCATTAAAGACACAAACATTCACATAGGAGCTCACAAAGAAGGATTTGCTGCTGCCCTACACAAGCACAAGCCTTGGCACCTTAATTAAATTCCTGGGAAGAATTATTTGTTCAGTTGAAGATATTTCCATCCCTGACACTGCCAATGTTTCATTTCCAGGATGAGAGTAAAAGGAGCTTTCCTGGACACTATAAAAAGCAACTGATAAAAATTTTATATATTTAAAAAAACTTTTATATATATTCATATATATATATGTATATATATATATATATAATTCTGAAAAGAAACAATAGGTAAAAAGGCAGTGGGTAAGATTCTGGTAAATGATGGAGCACCAAGAATCTGTCTCCTGATGTAGACAACAATTGCACTGACAGAATCTGTCTGAGATAACCATTTGGGATCTATAGACAATTGATGGTTTCCAACTACCTAATTAATCTTCATTAGGAAAGCACCATCTTTTTTTTTTTTTTTTTTTTGCATTTCACTCACTATTATTTTATTCTCAATGCTTATTCTGGTATGTATAGCTTAGTTGTTGAAGGCAATAGGCAACAATATTTATTATTTGCCCTGGATTTTCCACTGGGCACCTTACTTATATATTTATAAAAGCATGAACAGCATTGCTTTGTTAATTGTCTGTTATGTGCCCATATCCTCCACTAGATGGTATGTTCCACATTGACCACATTGTATCCATATCTGTATACTGCAAGAAACTTAATTCAGTTTCTGGACCATAGTAGGCACCTACTACATGCTGGTTCTCATTAGGCATTAGAGATACTATGATGATCAAATCCTTATGCTGTCAATCTTTACAGAGTTTAAGTGCCTGTTGTTAATTAGCTATGAGGTCTGAAGAAAGAGCATCTTCATGTTTAAAATGAATAGTCTTCAGTTGATCCTTAAAGCTTAATGGTCTTGCAGTACAGGATTCCAGAATTCTAATCCTTAGCCTAGCCTGCAACTTACTCATGCTAAGATGGTTATGGAAGGAAAAGTGTTGGAACACTTGTTCTTTCTTGATAACTACTTCGTGTTGCAGTTCTGCTCAATTCATACAGCTGAGACTGGTTTGTGAGCAAAGGATAAGAGGTTGAGTTTTGTTACTCCCATGCAGTCCATTTTAACATCCCCAGATCCAGGCAGCCTTAGGTGATAGACCTTAGAGGGTTTCCATGGAATGTCTACTCTTAGCACTACTCTGCGTTAAGAGTCAGAGGTGAGAGAGAATGGAAATCCTTGTTATTGTCAACATTTGGTAGCAATTTCAATAAGTTTTATAAGGAAGTTTAAAGTATGATTTGTTTTTCCTTTTCCTGATATAGATGGTGAGTTTGGAAAGACAAAACAACAAACATAGTCTTTCTTAATCCTGTCAAGTGTAGATGAGATGGAGAAGAACATCTGGGAATCTCTTGACAGGGGATGTCACTTGCAGTTTCCCAAAATCATTTTTGTCTTTTTAAAATTATTTATTTTTTAATTTACATCCAAGTTAGTTAGCATATAGTGTGACAATGATTTCAGGAATAGATTC